CCCAGCCCCTGCCCCTCGTCCTGCTCCCGCCCCTCCTCCTGCGTGTCCCTCGTCTGCCGCCCCGTGTGCAGGCCCGCCTGCTGCGTGCCCGCCTCCTCCTGCTGTGCCCCCGCCGCCTCCTGCCAGCCCAGCCGCTGCCGCCCGGCCTCCTGCGTGTCCCTGCTCTGCCGCCCCGCGTGCTCCCGCGTGGCCTGCTGCGTCCCCGCCTCGGCCCAGAAGTCCTGCTGCTGACCAGACACATCTCCCTAGGACCAGCCAGACTCGGGTCCCACCCTGTGACCTCAGTCCTCCCAGCCACCCCTCAGTCTGCTCCTGACCTGTGTTAGGCGGCTGCCCCCACCAGGACAGGGTCCCCCAGGTCTGCAGTGTCCTGTCCTGACCTGACCTCCTGCCTCCCAGGAGACGCCTCCACCTGCCTCTGGGTCGCCTGTCCTTCCTTTCCAGTTTCTTTGTCAGTCACCTGACCTTGACTCCAGCCTGTCAGCACCTCCCCGGGCACCCCAATAAACTCACTTCATCACCTGATCGCTTCCCTCATGTGACTTTATGGTGTGTGGGGGGGACACACGGTGTTGAGCAGACAGGGGCCTCCTGCAGCCACGAGAATCCTGGGAAGAGTGACTGAGCCCTCCCAAAGGGCGGTGGCCTAACTCCTCTAGGCAGGTCACCTCTGGGACTCTGGCCCTTGCCCAGGAAGGTCAGGGCCTGCTGGGCCCATGCCTAGGGCTCCCTGAGGCTGGTCGCCTGCAGACAGGTCCTGGTCGAGGGCATTCTCAGGCCCCCGGACCATTCTCACCCCCCAGAGTGGCCCATCAGGAGCCGGCCTGGGGCCCCAGCTGTGCAGCATCTCCGGGCCTGGGGCCACCCCGCGGTCCACTCTCCCTCTGCCCTTCGGCAGAGACGTGGTGGGGTGACGGAGGAGCTGCCGCATCCCTCTGGGGTCAGAGGGACTGGACGCACCCCCGCCTGGGCCGGGCCAGAACGTGGGGCATCCCTGGTTCGGCGGCATCCGAGCCCGGAGGGGAGGAACACAAAGCGGACGCCTGAGCGGGAAGCGCACACGGTGAGCGTCACCATTGGCCCCACTCGGCACCTCGGGGACATTTCCAGGCCCAGTGTACAGAGGCAGAACCAAGTGGGGCTCCACACGGGCCTCGGGACCTGGGGGAGCTCCGGGCAGGTGCTGTTTGGGGTCAGAGCGACGAGAAGGGAGAGCTGCATGAGTGACCCCAGGGCCTCAGAAGCTCCCTCGAATGTCCGCTAAGCACGATCAGCACACACGCGAGACTGAGACCGGCGACATCAGTCGGGCCCAGTGTACAGAGGCAGAACCAAGTGGGGCTCCACACGGGCCTCGGGACCTGGGGGAGCTCCGGGCAGGTGCTGTTTGGGGTCAGAGCGACGAGAAGGGAGAGCTGCATGAGTGACCCCAGGGCCTCAGAAGCTCCCTCGAATGTCCGCTAAGCACGATCAGCACACACGCGAGACTGAGACCAGCGACATAATCCAGAGTCACACGCCGTGAGCAGCGCCGTCTGGAACACGGCCACCGTTCCCAGGACATCAGGTCGACTGCCCCGAGGGCACTGCCTCAGTCGTGGGTGAAGCCAGCCCCACGTGACCACGGGCTCGGTCCTGCCCGACACGGCTGACGTGCAGCCTCGAAGAATGAGCCATTTCCAAGGGACTTCACATCCTAGAGCAAAGGTCAAATATAGATATCTATGTATATTACCAGCACTCAGCAAGGTAAAATTCACAGTTTCAGAAATCCTTTCAAAGTTTCCAGATATGCAAAGAGGCAGGAAAACATAACCCATAAAAAAGATAAAACCAGTCCATCGAAATCAAACCAGAAATGTCACAGATGACAGAATCAGTAAGTTATGACTATGGTCTATATATTCCGGAAGGTAGCGAAGAGATTAAGCAGGCATATCGAGGAACGACGAAGATTTAAAAGGACAGACAGACCATCTGGGTGTGAATTACACTAAGCTACGCTCAGTGAGACAGACTGACAGCGGCGCGGACGCTCTGAAGAAAAGACGCGCGAACTTGGAAGCAGAGAAATCGAAACTGCAAGAAGTTGAGGGAAGAGAAACGGGCTCGGCACCCACGAGCCGGGGTCTGCGTAACTGGCGTCCCCAAGGGGAAGGGGGAGGAGGAACAGAGAAGACGCTGTCAGGTTGGAGGCAGAGAGGAAGCCCACTCCGTCCGCTGCCACGGAAACTGCGCTTTCCGTGCAGAGAAACGAGGGGCTTGAGGTCGAAGACGGAAGCAGCGCTTTTGTGACGAGAGGGCGCCGAATTCTGTCGAGTGCTGTTTCTGCGAGAATCGCGATGCCCGTGTCGTTTTTTCCTGCTGTGAATGCGGCACGTTGCATCGATCCGTCTTCATGCGCAGAACCCTCCTCGTCTTGCGGGAACGGGCAGGCTCCTGTGGCCGCGGAGGATAAACTCTCCGCTGCGCTGCGGGGTCCGGTCCGCTAGCGCTTTGCTGAGGATTCCTGCCCAGCGATCGCGAGGGAGATGCGTCTGCCGCTTTCTTTTCCTGTCCGTGGCTTCGGTATCCGGGTAACGCCAGCTTCACAGACCGAGTCAGGGAGGGTTCCTTCTTCTTGAATTAAAAAAAAAAAAATTCACAGTGAATGAAGAAAAACCAGAAGGATCCTTAACCTGATATAAGGCACCGATGAAAACCTCACAGGCAACATCATACCCGGCTGTAGAAGGCTGTCTTCTCTCATCCGGCACCATACAGAAACCCCGCCCCACGCCACAAGCCAAAAATGGAACAAAAGGCATCCGTATTGGAATGAAGACGTAAAACCGTCTCTATTCACAGAAGACGTGACTGCCACGCAGCAAACACTCAAGAGCCTACGAAAAGACTCCTAGAAATAGACGAGTGTTTAGCAAGGTTGAATAATGCAAGCTTAAAATAATGAAACAAAAAAAAACCACAATCGTGTATCCTACGTAATGGCAATGAACAACCGGATTTCAAAATTTTCGTTTAAAAGTATGACTTACGACAAAATAGGAAATGAAAAAAGGTATAAATCTAACAGAATACGTGCATAATGAGAACCGTAAAAACACCGATGAGAGAAATCAGAGAAGACACACATAAATGGGAAAGCAGGCCAGGTTCGTGGGTCGAAGCATCTGTAGGTCTGGAGCTACCCCAGTCAAAACTCCAGCGGGATTCTTTTCGTTGTCAACAAGCCGATTCTAAAACTATTGGAAAAGGCGAAGGAGCTCAAATAGCCTAAACGATGTGAACATGAAGAACAGAGTTGGAGGGCCCACGCCCCCTGACCTTCGGTTGTATCGTCAAGGTGGGGTCATCGAATCAATGGGACCCTGGAGAAGGGACGGAGCACAGACCGATGAAGCGGGGCGGAGACACCGACCACACAGACGAAGCCAAGTGGCTCTCGACCTCGGTGTAAAGGCCAGTGAATGAGACAGACCTGGATGTCGATTAAATCTTCACATTAAGTGTCATGGTTCGAGGTTACTCATCTTTTTTTGCAGAGAGATAGACATCCACTTGCTCCAAAAGGGATGTCTATATGCCAAAAAAAGAGGGGAGGGGGACCCTTGAACCATACCTCACACTTAATGTAAAAATTTAATCAAATCCATCGTAACCTAAATGTAAAAATGTCAAAGTTTTATACTTTCAGAGGAAAACATAGAAAATCTTTGTGACCTTGCGTTAGGCCGAGTTCTTTGATTCAACACCAAAAGTGTGAGCTTTGAAAAATGCTAAACCGAATTTTATTAATATTAAACTCTTTTGCTCGTTAAAGGATACTGTTATCAAGACAAGCCCCAGAATCCTAGACGATCTTTGCGGATCGCACATCCGACTGAAGCACGAGTAGCCAAAATTCATAACGAATCTCAAAATTCAAAATCAAGAACACCTAACAGAGAAGAGGGCCTAATGATGTGAAGAAATACCACAAAGATGCATGGATGGCAAATAAACATAGGAAAAGATGCCCTACTTCAGTAACCGTCAGTGCAATGCAGGTTGAAGGCGCCGTGAGCCACGCTCCGCCCCGCCAGGACGGCTAAACCTTAAACAGCCCGACCCGCCCTCAGGGATGCGAGGGACTGGAACTCACGCGGTGTCGGGGGAAATGCCCAAATGTCACGGTCACTTTGGAAAACGATTTGGCGGTTGCTTATCAAGATGAACACGCACTTAATGGGTGACCCAGCTATGCCACGCCCAGGTGTTTGCCCCAGAGAAATGGAGAGTCTTTGTCATGAAAAAACCTGCACACGAACTGTTTACAGCAGCTTGTTCACGATCGTCACAACCAGAACAAATAAACGGCCGCCGGACAACTTAACAGATGGCGGCACGTCCAGGCGATGGAGCGCTCCTCGGCGATGAGGAGGAACGAGCTGCCAGGGTCTGCAGCGATGTGGACGGACCCCAGGCGCATTTTGCTGAGCGAAGGAAGCCAGACCCCAAAGGCGACATGCTGTGCGGTCCCGTGTGCGTGACAGTTCACAGAGACGCAGCCGTAGTGACTGAGGACCAGCGTTTCAGAGGGAGGGAGGAGTTCGCGAGGGCGATGGGATTCTTCTGCCGGGGACTGTGGCGTGTGCGCCTTTGTCCAAACCCGCGGACCCGCACGCCATGGAGAGAGCTGCGTGCAGGGGCAGGGGATTCGGCCGCCGGCTCTGTAAGGTCGAGCGGGTAGATGTCCGCTCTCTGCACGAGTCGAGAACGTCGGCCTGCGCTGGGCTGGCCTTTCGCTCTGTTCTTTTCTGCATTTACCTTCCCTTTGGTCTGCGTTTTGTTTTGCCTGACCGTGTGTTCTCAGGACGTTTGCATACGTAGTGCGTTGAGCGGCAGAGCCTCGGCTCTCGTCGCCCAGGTGACCGGGGGGTCGGATCACGGAAGCCATCTCTCCCAGACTCGGAAGATGGGTGCCATCACCTTCCGCATCTCGACTGGCCGAGCGACGTAGGAGGCCGATCTCTCTGGAAGCCCTTAGGCTGTGTCTTTATGTTCGGGGTCAGATGTCACCAGCGTGTCCAGAATGCACCGTTTCCGCTCACCCTGCCCCACATTTGGTCCAAAGGCCACATCCGAAGGCCTGCGCTTCCTTCCCGCTCTGTCCGGAATCCCGATGGGTGACCGTGGGGGCTTCTGGCCGTGTCATCTGTTTAAGGTTTCTCTGCTGTGCTCAGCTCTGCCATTGTGTTTCAGACCCTCCTCTGCCCACCTTCCCACTTACTCCTTCTCTCCTTGGCTGGTCTGTCCCCTCTTCAGCCCTCTGTGCATGGGACGTCCTAGGTGGATGAGCAGCAGTGTCCTGACGCCACCCTAAGCTACCCGGTCACGGACTACGGTCGCCCCTCACTTGGAACATCACGGAGACCTGGAGAGCGGGCCAGGCCGGGCGCTGGGACGGTGGACCTTCCCTGTGCTGTTTGCTTAGGAGACAAGCGAGGTCAGGGGGTCAAGCCACGCCGGCCAGGACAGGCATGTCGCAGGCAGCGACTCCTTCCTGTCCAACCCGGTAGTAATAAGGGCTGTTTCCTAGGACTCAAAACACCAACGAGGAAGGGAGGGCGTGGAGCCTCGTGCTGGGACAACACGCGCCCGGGGGTATAAAAGCCGACAGCCCAGGCTCCTCACACACTCACTCACACGCTCACACTCACACACTCACTCCCTCTCCCGGATCACCCCAGCCCCACGACCCGCCATGGCCGCCTCCACCCTGTCCGTCTGCTCCAGCGACCTCAGCTACGGCAGCCGCGTCTGCCTGCCCGGTGCCTGCGACTCCTGCACTGACTCCTCCTGGCAGGTGGACGAGTGCCCAGAGAGCTGCTGCGAGCCCTCCTGCTGTGCCCCCTCCTGCTGTGTCCCCTCCTGCTGTGCCCTGTCCTGCTGTGCCCCCAGCTGCTGCCAGCCCACCTCCTGTGTCCCCAGCTGCTGCTGCCAGCCCATCCGCTACATCCAGACCTGCTGCCAGCCCTCCTGCTGTGCCTCCAGCTGCTGCATCCCGGCCCCCAGCCTGACCCTCGTCTGCACCCCAGTGAGCTGCGTGTCCAGCCCCTGCTGCCAGGCGGCCTGTGGGCTCAGCCCCTGCCAAGCAGCCTGCGGCAGCTCCTGCACGCCCTCGTGCTGCCAGCAGTCTAGTTGCCAGCCCTCCTGCTGCGCCTCCTCCCCCTGCCAGCCGGCCTGCTATGTGCCCGTCTCCTGCACGCCCGTCAGCTGCACGCCCGTCAGCTGCACACCTGTCTGCTGCACGCCCGTCAGCTGCAAGCGCGTCTGTTGCACACCCATCTGCAGCACCCCCGTCTGCTGCACACCCGTCTGCTCCAAGCCCGTGTGCTGTGCGCCCGTCTGCTCCGGGGCCGCCCCCTGCCCAGCCCCCTCGTGCTGCCAGCCCAGCCCCTGCCCCTCGTCCTGCTGCAGACCCTCCTCCTGCGTGTCCCTCGTCTGCCA